AGTAGCAATTATTTCTTGTGTTGTCAACTGATAGTGGCCAAGAGTCACAGATGGAATTGAGTGGGGACTGTGTCTGGATCAGTCTGAGGTAAAATTCTTCAAGAAAAAGGTAAAAACGTACACAGAAAGCAAAGCATATTAAAGCAAAGCCTAAAGGCATAAAGTAATAATGCTGAAGACTGAACATAATCAATTAATTTTTGTACTGTAAGGTAACTTAGGTAGTTGTCACATTTTGTTCTGTCAAATCTTGAAATATAAACTGATGGTTTGATCCACAGTATGAGCTACATTCCATCATGGTTTAAACGGAAATGTACACAAGGCATCTACTCGAAAGGATTGTATCAAAATGTTCTAAAAATATCTCTGGTTGGTTTCACAAAAGCAAACTGTATCAAAAGCATTGGCCAAGAGCAAGCAATATAATAACAGGCTGAAACCCTTTTACACAACAAAAAGCAGGACAACCAATCACGTCACTTTGATTGTGGACCTATGAAGTCCCATACAGCACATGCAATCCATTAAAATCAACACAATACAGAAAAAGTAACTTTTACAGATGAACATCAGAGAGACAACCTTAGTTGGTCTATTGTGCTTCATACAGATTAGGCCTGACCTGTCTATACAACAATCATGGGCGCCTTACTCCACAAATGTGTTCAAGCTACTGCTGAAATCGGAGGCGCCACAGAGCGAGTGACCCTGAGAGTGAGAAACTCCGTGATAGCAGTGGGACATTTACAAGAACATCAGCTCTGGTTAAGTATTCCTCAATTTACGGTGCATTTATGGTGCAACTTTTTGTGTTCCTCTGCATGTCCATTGGAAACACTGATGACAGGTATACAGTATGTCAGATTCTCCAGAGCTCTGCATTGATTTTTTTAAATAGTCTAATACTATTTCTGGCCTCTGTTCCCTCAGTGTCGCTGTCTTTGTGACGCCTACATCTATGTGGCCTTAATGTAGGAGTTGTTTACTGTAAACATCATGGGCCATGAGGACTGCACAGGCAGCGACATAAAACTGTAATACTGTAGATTGCACAGAAATCCTAATTAGTTAATTAATAACCTAATTGTTATACATTCCTATGTTCCATAACATTGCACATGCCTTTAATGAACACTTAGCACCATGCAACCTGAAGATGAGATGGCTCCTGAATGCATCAAAATTCAAAACAGGCCTTCTGTAATGGGCTTTTTTAATTCCTTTTCTTTTTTTAACATTGAAAATGATTATCAGTGAGTGAATATGAAAAAAGCCTGATGCTAGTTAACTTACAATTAATATGAACTTTTATATCTATATAGAGATAAATATTAGGCTGGCATTTGATCATCTCTGTAGACTTAAATTATGCTGGCATTTGTAATGAGCTTGAATTTCCTCCTTAAAAAAAACGGTCACCACAGCAATTGATCTGATTATACTTCAGCTCCAGTTTAACCTTTTGATAACAGCACATACTCTATAGTGTGTGAGGGGGCTATTTCAGATCAACTATTAAACAAGGCCTTGATGACTGACACTCATGTACAACAACATGATAAAACCTCACCAGTGCAAATGAAATGACATTGGTTGGATTACTTTGAGCCTGACTGTTTCGACTCTCCAAGACTATGTGGTTCAATGACACTAAACTGAGCCATTAGAGTTTTTTGGAATGGCTATCTGAAATCCCACCTTATGTTTGTTCTGCTCAAAGACATACAATAAGCACAGATTTCATGTCAGCTGTTCAGTCCTGTCTGAGCGGGCTTGTCCTAGGTGAAGAGATTAAAAGATGATTTAAACTTGTTAAAGGGTGATACTGAGATGATGCTAGGTACAGTGATGTATGCCACCAGAGGCAGCACAGTGTACAGTGGTGTGTCTCGGTCTGGCTGTAGCGCTCACTCTACTCCTCAGCAGTGTGAGACAGCTGCTTCTCATACAGGCTGAGAACATGATGCACAAACTGGTACTGCTCGCATGTCTGGATCATCCCACCCCTGACAAACACACAGAAAGACAAACACAGTTATTCGGTTAGAAAAAAAAAGTGTGCAGTTTCCTAGCCGTGCTAGCAATGGTCAGTAGGTCCATCACTTTCATGGTCACCACCAGAATCCAACTGACATGCTTTCCCCCAGCAGACATTCATGTTGCCTTCAGAATGAGCTGAAAGTTTTTTCTCCAACACAATCATCAGGACATTTTGTGTTTGATGACTATTAGCAAATGTTAAAAATGCTAAAATTTGGCGAGCATGGCAAACATCAGCATGTTAGTGTTGTCGCTGTGAGAACATTAGCATAGCATGCAGATGTTAGCATTTACCTCAAAGCACTGTTGTGCCAAAATACAGTCTCTCGGAGCCCTTAGCATAGCTTTAGGCTCTTAGTCTTGTTTTTATAAGGGTATACACATTTTTGGTAGGGCATTCATGAAAACCCATGTGTGCTGTCAAGTTAGCCTATTGTACATTTTTCACTCACCCTCTAATCATGTTAGATGATCAGCTAAATAACAAAGGTATACATTTTATTACCTGGGGGAATTCAAAAACTATTTAATGAAAGGGAAGGGGGATACAATTTAAGGGGTCAGTTAAACTTAAAAGTTCATTCTATATGTACAACCAAAAAAAGATTCTGTATTTCCATAAGTGGGGTAAAACTATGGAATAATTTAAGTGTGGACATAAAAAACAGTAATAGAATTGATTAGTTTAAACGTAAATATAAAGGTATGTGTCAATCAAGATATATGCAAGAACAGGTTTAATGATTAATTAGATGGAACATTGTGGGTGTGGTGTATGAATGTTAACACTTTGTAATAATTCTTTAGTATATTACTTGTGTGGTGTAGAGGATAATTATTTATCTAGAGATATTGCTTAGGATTTAAAAGTTGTAAAATAATGTCATGGGGTAGGACTGGATAAGTCTAGTAAGATGATGTCATGGGGTAGGACTGGATAAGTCTGACTTCTTCCTACTCCATTCAAGCATGTACCAGGTATAAGCAAATTGTTATTGGATTGTGTGTAAAAATGTGTGTTGTTATATCAAATGTTTTATATGCTTGAAAGAATTAATCAAATCAAATCAAAATGTCTTGTATGTAGTTGGTTGTCTTTTAAGAAACAGTTCACCCAAATTGAAAATTAATTTCTTGATTTTGGAATTTAAAACAAAGAATAAATTAATATAGGCTTTTAAAATATTTTTTGCAGCCTGAGACTGAGTACTGTGGCTATTTATGTTTAGTACAGCCAGGGATGGGCCTAGAAAACTTTGGACGGGGTGGACAGGTACCGGCACAGACTTAGAATGAGTATCAGATGATTCTGGTATTTTGGAGAGATCACTCTGTCCTAGTCACGTGTTCTCTAAATGTTCACATTATGTCTCTAAAGAGGGGATAGATTTTATTGACTTGTCATGGGTATTTCTCAGGTTTTACTGTTTTCACTGACCATATCTGTAGAAAAGAATCTTATGCAATCACATCACTAACTGCATTACTAGACAAAGATTTAAAACAACAATGGACTTTCTGTCTTGCTGGTCATAGCAGGATGATCTTACAGTTAGGTCCTCTGCTACAGTATTGCTTTAAGTTGTGAGTTTTTGCATCCAAATAAAAGTAGGTGCAGTGGGATTCTCACCCTTTGAAGTACTCAGTGGTAGATCACTGGGCGTGGGGACTCAAGCCACATTAGTGGGGGTGGATTCAGTAAAAGTGTGATCGTAAATTACAAAGTTAATTTCTTTAGTTTGTATATTCAGATCTCCCACAGCTCTCTGTCTGAAGAACACCCAGGGTGCTTCATCCATGTCCCCAGCATGATGTTCTAGAACCTCTCCCTGGGCGCAACTACTGTATGCTACACGGGTCTAAGGGTCTGAAGAAGCTTTGAAGATGTTGAAGGCTCAGACAGCAGATTTTTGCTTTTGCCTGGTGCCATTGTGCCACTGATACAGTGTGTTACAATGTAGCCACTGTTTTTAGCCTAGGCTATAGGCTAAACACTAAGTACACCAATGACTCAAGTTGAAGCACTTTATATATTTTTGATATAATTCCTTTTTTCATCCTATCTTTGTCAATTGTTATTATTAATTTTTCCAGTTCTGCTAATGGTTTACAAATATTCTCCCACTCCTTATGTTTCTTGAACATAATGCCTCAGTTGTAAGAATTTATAAAAACCATGGATAGGTAAGGTAAATTCCTCAGAAAGTTGCTGAAATAATTTCAGACTTTATCAAAAATGTTCTGTTTATACAGTAGATCAGTCCTTTATCAAGCCATTATTAAAAATCAGGATCTATAATAGTTGGTATTAAATCTGGATTTGATGCTATTTTAGTAGCTCTGGATATGGATATGGGATATTTTTTAAGCTTTTTATTTCAGACCATACCCTGAGTACTGTCTTAATCTGTTCATTCCTTATATTGAGTTTCCCTCAGTTTACTTGTGAGAGGAATAGCAGTGTGTCCAAAGGTACATGTGGACATGAATTCCGTTCCATTCCCATTTGCCTATATCTGACAGAAAGGCAGTGAGGCTACCAGAGTGCTCTGAGAGAGAGGTGTGTTGTGGGGTTTTTTGCCTCCAAAATATTCCATAAGAAATATTTGCCTCATTTTTACTCTGTGAAAAACTATTAACCACTGAGCACTCATTTTAGACAATGGATGAAGGTGAGATGACTCCGAGGTTTGGCTACTGTACCATTTTTAATTGAAATTTCATTTTGGAATAAATCCCCACAGCATCTTGTTTGTGATTTAGAACCAAATCAACTCAAACTATGTCACCTGTGTTAAGAATATCTCACCTGTCCAGACGGAGCTGGCAGGTAGTTTTCAGGATGTCAACCACACCCTCGGTCTTCAGCTGCTTGCACAGGATGGAGGTGGCAATGAAGCAGCGGGGACAATGGATTGATTGGTGTATTGATTAGCACTGATCCTACTAATCTTATTAATCTCAAATCATCCTTGGGGAAATCACACAGGAGCAGTTTAGAAGTGGGTGAGTGGTTGATTTATTAAAAAGGATTCCTCCAATATAAAACTGGGCATAGCCTTTTTTACTCACAGACAAGCTGCTTCTGTACCTGCAATGGACAATTATAGGGCCACTGGAAGGCGGGGCTTCCTCTCGGGCCCTTTCCACTTCCTGCACTAGTTCCAGCAGGGGCGGAGCCTTGTCTGGAGTCTTCTGATCAGGCCATGAAGTGTACCAGTACTGCCGCAGAGTGCGCTTTTCTCCCCCACACTGGTGCAAGTGCACAGACACATGGACAAACAGAAAGGCATGTAATACAGATATAATTAGGTTGTGCATGCATGTACAAGAGGCAGACACACTGAAGACGCTTTTTTCTGAACAGGCTGTTGATCTGCATGTCTATCCAAATTGTTACCTTGGTGTTAGTTGCTATGACAACAATGAATGCAAAGCAACACAGCAAAAAAGACTGATGCTTATAAAAAAAGCTTACATAGTCCTTGCCAATATTACACAAAATCAAATCTATCAGCTGCCTCTGCTCCCCGAGTGTGGGTCGGACAATAATTATTAATCCGACAGATAGAAGAGTGTAATAAACAACAGGCTTTTAACTCAGAGCGCAGTTATGTAATGATCCCCTGGTGCTTAATAATCAGATGCAGGCTGCATTTACTGAATTATCATGTTTGGCTTCTGTGTGCAAATGCCACCATGACCCCAAATTAAATATAAAGCACCCATCATGAACACATGAATGGAACTGAAAAGTGCAACTACATCAGCAACATTGAGTAAACTATCACCCAACACCAACACGCACGATGAGTCTGTATGCACTTTGACAATCTGCTGAAACAGTCTGATAAAAACATTTATTTTGGTTTTTAAAAAAAACTTGGGTGTTTGGAATGCTGAGAACTAAAGATCACAATCTGTTGTGATGGCAAGTACACACTTCAGTATTTCCTGTTTTGACTACATGGTCTTGTATTTATCTTGAGTGTGCACACATCCAGTCATCCAATCATGCATATTATATAATGTATATTTAAAAACGACTTTGGTAACTGTTCCTCTACACTACTGTTCACACTGAATGACAAGATGGATTGTTATTAAACATGGCTCACACATTCCTCTCAGAACCTAACTGACAATCAGGTCATTTTTCATTTGTCCAGTGCTTTGGCCTATGACCACCTGCAAATAAAATCACATTACGATCAGCCTCAGTTGTATTTGCTGTGTATAGCACTAATTACCAAGTTAAATTGGTAACACACTAAACTGAGAGGGTGACCATGGCAGATGTTATACCTGCTAAATATCATCAAGTTAGCATTGTCACATGCTGCCTCACATATACTGTAGTTGTTAGCATGGCTTTAACCTTGTAGATTTGTCCTAATAAAAATTTTGAATTCTTCAAGCACCTGAAATTAAATTTTGTTAACCTGTATTTGCAAATTGGCACGTCTCTACCACTAGCGGCAAATTAGATTTAGTTTTCCTATCTGTTTGAACTGACCCTTGCCAATTTGATTAAAACTCTGCACTTTAATCACTATTATGATGTGATATATCATCTTACCTTCAGTGTAAACACCCTCAGACTGTAGTCATCCTCCTGTGTTACCGAGACAACGGCAATCTCGATGCCCTCGTGGGTCACAGTGTCCTCTGGCCAGTACTCTGCACATTTCTGCAAGACACAATGGACACAAATGGATATTTTTGCCCATCCCATTATCAGCATATTTGTGCATTTACACATTAATGCGTCTGTCATTACCACTATCATCATCATCTTCATCACTGACCTCATTTTTCTCCTCCAGGTTGGTGATCATCACTATTATTGGGCTTTTCTCCTGCCACACCATCCTCCAGAAGTCCCCTACTGTGTTCACAGTGGGACCCTGGGTGGCAATGTATGCATGCTCCTCACCCCCATAGCCCTACACACACACACACTAAATCTTATCATTTGCAGTTACTGAGAGCACAAGATCACATCCATGGAGAACCAATAAAGTTGCAGTGGCTACATGGCAGGACAGTACTCAGGAAACTCATATTTTCACTTACTTTGAGATAATTAGCATTGATGTAGGTAGTGAGGAAATCGTCTTCATCCTGTGATTTCAAAATCACTCTGCTGTGTGTGTCTGCAGGTGGGCAGTATTAGAAATCATATGAAAGAGAGACAGATGGGTTTCACTTGAAAAAAATAACAGCAAAATATGTATGCATGTATAATGTATTGCCTATTACAGATCAGTTTTATTACAAGTTTGGTTCAAGTATTTTTTTGTGCTGTGGCCCAGCCTGAGTATCGGTATTCTGGTGCATAGAGACAGACCATTTACAAACTTGATGAGAATGTGAAATAAATTGTTAATATATGCTGCATAAAAGGGCAAATTTTACAACATGTACAACTTTATGATCTCTGTTGTGTTGTGTTGCACTTGTACTCACTGGGTAAGATGGTTTTGTAGCGATTCTTTCTCACCAGCCCTGGGTAGTTGTACTCTTTAGGGTCCACAAAGTTCATGGGAGTTTCCTGCCAATGGAACAATGAGTGCAATGACAATTGGCCCTTGCTGAAACGAAGGTGATGTCATAGCCTTGTTTTTTTTACAAGGCAACAAAACAGTAAGCAAACAATATTCAAAAAAATTTCATTCACTGCCCTTCACAATAAACTTTGTAACTGAAAGTGATAAACATGTGTATGATTTTTTGATACATCTTTCCTCTGTGGGTTTTGGATGCAAATATGCCTGTATCTTTTTTTCCTTCACTCACTAACAATAGAAAGGCTTATTGGTGTATGCAGAGATCCATTGGGTGACTGTGTGTGTGGGGGCGCTTGTGCCACGTCTGTGTGTGTCAGTGTACATCTTTTCTGTTAAGTCTCTGTTCATCTCTGTTAAACTACAGAGTGTGGGTGTAAATTGTTGTTGCTATGCTCACATAAAACTCAGCCTGAAGGCCCTGGTCATCCATGGCCCTTGTGTGTAGCATGGTTGGAGTTAAGACATGTGTTCCCTGTCGGAGGTACTCCTGGGCAGACTGGTCTCTGGGAGAGAGCTGGGCTCCATAGCCATAGGGCTCAGTGCAGCCTGGTGTACACATGTCCAAGGTCAGGGAAACATTGGAGCCTCTCCTGTGTGATATACACAGAATCAGTCAGTATGAGCACAGTCTACCTATTTGGGACATAAAAATATGGACATCCTCTATGACTTCCAAAAATGATACTGGTTTCTGCAGCACACTCTTATGCTAACCTCTCCTGAAGCCCCACTGGTGTGACAGTGAGGGTGGCGGAGTCTCCCTCCATCCTGATGTCATTGTCAAAGACTGGTGTCTGAGGCATAGGGTCTAGGTCCAGTAGGTCCTCCTGAGCGTCCGTCCACTCTGACAGGGTGAAGGAGGGTTGGCGGCTTACAGACTGACGCCGATCACCAATGTCCCTTGATACTGTTCCTGATGACCACAAGCCAGTGCCATAACACCACTTACACACCATGTGGATGACCTGAGGAGAGGTGGACAGAAAACAGGAAGCAGTAAATATCAATTTTTCACTTCAAATATGCATCTATTTAGTTAACTAGCCAATCTGCAAATCAATAACTCAAAGATCCAGTCCAGTTTTTTGTCAAGAAGGTCATGTTCCTTGATAAATGATAATAAAATCTGCAGTATTTTACCATAACAACACAGATGATCACACCAACACCTGAAGTTCCATGGACAATCCAGTTGTGCTGCTGGGTGTTTACCACTTCCTTCATCAACACCATAGACTAGCCAGCACAGAAAAACAGGAAAAGGTGAGACACAGCCAACACTTTTTTCTTTGTGATTTTCATCCAAAACAACTCCAGGACTAACACTTACGTCCATTCCAAAAATTGGATGGCACGGTAAGATGAAGCCAAGGTAGAAGTCGATGACTTGCAGGGATTTGTAGATGGAAGAGAGTGGGCCGTTTCCTTCCACAACAAAAAACATCCAGTAGCCCTGGGGGGTGCGGGGTAGATTGTCACTTGTCACATGCCAATCATACACTGGTAACCAAGAAGCATTGTGGCATTGCTCTCAGGTGAAAAGTAAAAGAGAAGAAAAGAAGATGGCCCATTACACAGACATAAAAAAATATGTAAACTGCCCATGTGCAGTCTGGTGTCATAATCATGGCCGCATGTGTGAGGATCCTATAATGAATTAAACATGAAGTCAACAGAGAGAGAGAGTGAGAAAGAGATAGACAGAACTGGGAAGAAGGTGTCTAATTCTAACAAAAAACATTACAATCAAGCACTGTAGAGAACATGATAGTGTCATGATGCATATGAAAAGAAAATCTTTATGGAAAGATAAGAATGAAGTTGAGAGAAAACCTTGTGTTTAAGTTTTAAAGTGTCATTTGAATTGTGCTGCAAATACACTACTGTGAATTTCTCAGTCCAGTCTAGATTACATGCTGAG